AAAACTTCTTCATATTCAGAGAGCCATATACCTTACATAGTCTTTCCATTCTTAACATAAAGACCTTATGTTTCAGACTTAACGATGATTTTAATTTTTCTCTTTTTGGACTGTCCCCAATTTCTCTCCCGAATCATGATGCTCAAAACTGGATGTACCTTGTTATATCAAAGCTCCATCTAACCCAGCACTGTCTCCAATAGCCTTCAATAGCAAATAGCTAGGCAATAAGTATAGGACTAGACAAATATGTAACAATACCTCACTGGAAGATACAACTTCCTAAACTCCAGTAGTTTGCAGTTGAAGGATTTTCCAGACCAGACTTTCATATTTTCAAATTTTCCAGACATTCCATATTCCTTGCTTAACAATGATTTTTTTTCTCCATTAATTTGTCCAGTAATTCCCTCTAGGTTCACACATCATAAAAACCAAGGAACATCAGAAGAACAGAAAAAAACATTTCCTCCCGCTCCAGTGCGGTACCTCTCTTCATTCTCTCCTCACCTAGGCTAGGGCTCCTTGCACTAGGAAAAATTCCTCGCAGAGAAACCCTTTCATAACTTGGGTCACCACCGCTTCCCCTCCCTATGCCTTTTCAGCTCACCCACTTTTTTTTAAGTTATGACTGGGACCAGAACTGCACACGGCATTCAAGGAACAGATAGGAAGATACTCAGTTTTGCTTTCTTCTGCTTTCCTAACAATCCTTAGGATTCAGTTTACTATTTCTGACCACTGACACCATCACAGAACTATTGTTATAAGCCCAAGAGCTCATTCACATGCTGTGGCAGTCAGATCAGAAAAAACACACGTAAAGTTATGATTCACCCTTCAGATCCATCTCCATGCAATTTTATCTGACATTTTACCCCTTCGCTACTCGGTACAAGGACCCTCAACAATCCTTTGTCATTGTCCTTCACGTGCTCTCAGGGATTTAGTCTCACCTCTCCACCTGGGCACCTCGCTCTCCACCTCCCTTTCCAGAACAGTTACCCACACACTTAGCGGGACGGGGCCGTGTTGCTCCACCGGTGACCACCTCTGCAAACCCATCACAGCCACCTCATCTCCGCTTCCTGCTCTGCTGTTTGCTCAAGGGTGAAAGAGGCAGCCACATGGGCAGTTTAGTTTTGTTGGGAATCTTTGACTTTATCAAATGCCATTTGTAAATGCAATTAAACAACGTCAATCCGACCTCCCTTGCCCGCATGCTCACTGGTCCCTTCAAAGAGCTCCAACGGATTTTAGATTCATGATTCCTCTCTGCAAAAACTGTGCTGTCTCTTCTGCAGTATATCACATTTAATCATGTGTCCTCAATTCTTTTGTTCAGAACAGTTTCTACTCTACTGCCTGGCACAGACATCAAGTCTACTGGTAACAACAGACATAATTATTCTGTGGATTATCACATTTTTTGTGATGTACAAGGTAGTGGGCACCAGAGCTATAATAAACTGCACTGTCCCTCAGCCGGGCATGCTTGTGAGCGCCAAGATAATTTCCAGATGTCTCAGTATCGCTAGATACAAAGTTAGAGATAATGACCACTTTAGCTACTGCTGTATCTTCTCTTTGTTTGACTAAAAAAATAATATAGAAGGAAAGATTTGATAAGCTTATTTCTCCAGGGAAAATACTGAAGAGGGCAGAAACATACAATTGGCAGAAGAGCCTGCATTCAGCAAGCATCCTGACTGTGGGGAAAAAAGGGAAAAAAGACAGACTACAGGCAGAAAGCATCACATAAGCAGCAATGCTGTTCAAAGGAAGGGTTGCTATAAAGAGGATTGATGGAGAGTCATCTGACCCCCAGCATCCCAAAAAATGTTGTCGTGTAGCATTACAAAATAATTCTGTTCCAGGGCACGTAGAAGAGGAGGCACTTGTGATAAACCATCCTTTTAACAGCACACTAAGATGCACTCCATTTGTTTCCCACAGTCAAACTCATGTAACATTCACCAAATCTCAGAAACGCTGGAACTTGACCAACCATCCTTCAAATGCAATCAGTGCATCTATTTCAAAGTACAATGAAGAACACATTGGTTAATCCTTTGGACTTAATTTCCAAATTTAAGCATTAAAAAGATTAATATTATATAAAGTCACACTGTAACAGCATACATATTGTTATATATAAGAGAAGTCAGTGTATATCTTGCTTTGGAAATCATGCATTGGAAATTTTATTTTTAGAATTCAAGGTCTGAGTTGTCCTGCAACAGTCAAGTCCGTTTTGCCAGAAAAGGAACGAAATCTGATGACGCTAGAGACCTGCCTAGTCCAGTACCCCATCACTGACAGTGATCGACAGCAAGTGCCTACAGAAGACTAAGACAAAGGCAAATATATGAAGATACTTCCTCAGAATATTCCCCTAGTCTGCAATCATTTGTACTCCTACAACTTCCTAAGCTTGTAATTTGTATCTGTATATTTAAAAGTCTTTGATTTAATCTTCCAAGAACACACATGTCCGACAGATTTTGAGTCCATGCACACTGTTGATATCCACAGTGCCCTGTGGGAAGAAGTTCCACATTCTGTGTGAAGTAGCAGCTCCTTGTGCCTGTCCCTATCCAACTGATCCTAACTGGTTTCTTGTCATTACAGTGGAAGGGAGTGTAGTTAGCTCTCCACACACTTTTTCCATGCCAGACCCTTTTAACTCTTGGGTAAATACCTCTTGATCTGACAACCTGATACTATTCATTTTGTCAGCTGATCTATAATCCTGTCTACCAACACCTCACTCTAAAAAAACAACCAACAAACCACAAGCACAAAAACCCCTTCTCCTGAGTTAACACAGACACAAAACAATGATACAGAGTTTTTGTTACTACTCCTTCTGCCTCAACTGTTTCCTTCACTTCTATGAGTTTCATAGATTCTCTGGTATCCTTCTTTCCTCTTGATGCCTGAAAAAAATGACTAGTTTTTATGTCTGCATCTTCATCGTATCTTCTCCTTCTGATAGCATGTTAATATTCAGATTCACCTTCTACATCTACATTAACAGATCCTTTATTTATGCCCCACCACCGCCTTCGGGTGCTTCCCAGTGTCTCCCCATCCCTATGGGAGTGAATACCATGTACACTTCCTTCATATCACCTGCTCTCCTCCGCAGCCAGCCTCCCACAGCCAGTCTGTTCTTCCACCAAATCTTGTGCTTAGTCCCTTCTCTCACTTCACAGGTTTCAAATCCTTCTTATTCCTTCCCCCACCAGACATTTCAAAGACTACTAACTCAGTGAAAGATGACAAGCTCTGGCCTCTCCCACCCTCCTTTCCCTGCAGATACCTATCTTTATTTTTCTCACTATAACCATTACTGATGCTTTCAACCTGCTGCCTCTATCCCCTCCGGGGGCTGCCATAATTTCCTCCTGTTCTCTTCTCTCCTCTGCAACCCCTATCCTTTGATGCCTTCCCTTCCAAAAGAACACTTATTTTGTTTTAGCATGCTGTCTCTCTGAGACAGATGCTTACTTTGTGTTTGAAAGAGCACCTGGCATGCTGTGGGCATAAACAGACAAGTAACTGTAGATCTGACAGCAAGATTGCAGCAAGGTTGACACAGAGCAGCAACAGGGAGGCTGCCCTAGGATGGGCCGTCGCAAGACAGCTGAAAAACATGGGATCTTAGAAGTCTCCAATAATCAATAATGCCACCCAAAGCCTTACCTTCTCACACCATGCAGCCTTTCGGTGAGATACAAGCTCATGCAGTCGGTCACGGAGAGTCATTAGATCTCTGGATAGTCTGTCAATTTGCCCAGTCTGACTGTCAGCCCAGGGGCAGCCTGAGGTCACCTTTGGCAGCCCGTTTTTCTTCACGTGAGCATCCCAGGACTCGCATACATTTCCCTCTTCAGCCATATTATCTAACACAGTTTCCTAAAGTAAAAACAGTAAAAGTTACTTTTCAGAAGGAGCTAAAATGAGTCGTCTCCCCCCAACATCTTCCTGGTAATTCATACCTACTAGGAATTCACTGCTGCCATCTCAGTACACAGTTGCTCCAGAATTTCAGAGTTATTTTAAGAGATAAACTCCTCAGTTCACTACAACGTATTTCTAAATTAACAGAAAACTTATGTTACTAACCTAGCTTAGTTTAGAAAGCACTGCATACTGTGAGCTACTCTCCACTGCACTAAAGCATAACGTAACACTCATAGGACAGAGGTCACCAGTATTGCAGAAACCCTAGGTATGCCCCTTCCCCTCAAACTCCAAGGTTGGATGTACTTCAGTGGCTTTTTGTAACAAAGTGATGACCGGGATGGAGATTCATGCTTACACTGTTCAGGAGAGCCCCATCTGCTATGTGGCACAGTAAGTTGTAACACCCACAGGATCACTTGTGCCCATGTAAAACTCTTGGGCTTCCTCAACTTGTGGAGTTCCCTGCTCCAGGCTGGTCAGGAGCCCTGTCAGCTCTACTTGACCATGACCACCTGGCTGGTTCTGGAATTAATTCTGCAACTGCCTTCAGAGATAGCAACTGGTATTTGAAATACTCAAAAAAAAATACCAAATAACTTCAGAGTCCTTGAAATGCATGTACCTATACACCGTGGTACACAGATTATGTAGAAACACAGTTTTCAAACCAGGGTTGCACAGCATAACTAAAGGATCCAGGCCTCCTCACTCAAAGAGTATTAGATATTTATTTCCATACTGTTATCAAAAAAGACATTAAATAGGAGAGGTCATAATCTCTTTTAAGGATGTAATTTGCATTCAAAATTATCTTTCAGAATTGGAGAATTTGAAAACAGTGAGAGGAAATTCAGTAGTTGAGCAGCACAGTCTACACACAGGCAAGGAAAAACCAAATGCGTAATTACTGGCTCAGCAGCAACACTGCTGGAAGAGATGCCAAAAAAACCAGAAGTCACCGATGTCATGCTGTTAAAGTCAAGTACCATTTTAGAAAGTATAAACACAAGTCTCTGTGATAGAAGAGCGCTGACCGCTAACACTGGTGTACGGGTGAGGCACCTGAAGTTAAACATAGACAAATGGGAAGGAAAATCCCACATGAGAGCAGCAACAACCATCAGAAGTTTGAGGGAATGGCCTACAAGGGGACATTAAGAGAACCAATTTTGTTTAGGCTAGCAACCAGACTGGGAAGGCAGTGACATGCTAACAGCCTTCACTTATATGAAAGATTGCTATGAAGAGGATGGGAGTTTTTCTCCCCCTCTTTCTCTCTCTTCTCTGCAGGTAGGTTAAAAACTCTGGCTTAATTCACAGCAAGAGATTTTTAGGCTCATACAAGAAAAAATATTGTAAGATAGCTAAGAATGGCAAAAGATATTCTACAAAACCTCCTTTCTCAGTGAGCATCAGCACTGCAAGCTGGCACAATGCCATGCTGAGGCCAGCAGCTCATGCTGACCAAAGGCCCAGCTCATGACAATACCAACATGCTCTGGGCACTAATGGGCTAACAAACTGCATGGAAATAAAACAAAGCTTTTCTGGTTTTGCTGGAGGTATTTTCCTTTTTTTTTTTTTTTTTTTTTGGTGTGTGTGTTGGTTGGGTTTTTAATTTGAAATTAATTAAATGATAGGATTTTAAAGCAACATTACTGCAGTCACTCCAGTTGCTGTAGTTATGTCAGGGTCTGTCATGCTCCAGCCCACAACCTTCAGAAGACCTGGCAGTAGCTATGCAAGAATAATCCCATCCATCACATCAGCAATGCATGAACATGTTCTGCTAGTGCTGATGCTTTCCAAACAACCCTATGATAATAGACATGTAAAGCAAAAACCATTGTATAACTAACGGCAATCCAAATGGCTTTGCACTGGAAGTATTCTTCAAGACAGGTGACATAATTTTACACTCCTTTGTCTTGCTTTTAGTGTAGAACAAGGCATATGGGCAATTAACAGTCAGGTCACTGATTCTCAAGATTTTGTAAACTCATATGGTTAATGTGGTGCTCTAAAGAATTATTTTCAGCAACTGTGAATGGGCAAAAGTTGTAGAGAGAAGCAAGATGGATGGTAACGTTTACACTCACTTGAGAAATCGTAAGATGCAGAGAGAAAGGCCTATTGATTTTCTTATGATCATTCAACACAGTTCAAGGGGAAATCAGCAATTTCAACACATTATTTGGCTGGAAAAAGTAAAGTTGTTTTCAATATCAGCTGCTTGCAAATTTAGTTGTTCTCAAGTCCGCAATAAAGCTTAGAGGCCCTCTTCTGAAACGACATTTAATTTTAACAAAATGTACGATTGCCACGTTTAAAAAACATTAAAGAGATGAAGATCAGACATTTTCATTTGTGTTAACTGTATGAAATTCTGCCACTCTGCCCTGCAATTCCTCAGCTTAGCTGGGTGAGTCTTACTCAAGAAAAACAGAGGGATGAAGGAGAAGCAAGAAAACACTCCTTACTTTACCAAAGACTTTTTTCCCTTCTCAAGTGCTGTTGAACAGTTGGTTTGCAGTATTTATTGTTGTAGGAAGGGGTCTTTGGAAGCGGTCAGCTATTTGTTAGAGGCAAGAAAGCCGCACCCTTTGAAATTAGTTTGATTTATTACCATCCAGTGCCAATAAACTGGTTCCAGTTGCTTCCACTCCAGAAAGGCTTCTAGTTGCATGGTTTCAGACTCCAGAAGCTGTAACAGCTAAAGGAAAGGAGACAAAAGAAAGAAAATCAGGTAACATTGGTCACTTGTGAACTAAATGAAATGTTTGGTCTAAATTACAAAAAGAGTGTCGGTGGTACATGGGAAAACAGTGGGTTACTTTACAAGAACATTGTAAAACCAGCTGCGGAAATGATGTGTATCACTTTTCCCAGCATCACTGATTAACTCCTCATCCCACATGTACAAATACCCTCAGCTTTTACATATATAAATGTGAGTTTCCATATTGTTTTTAGGGATCAAAGGGCCATAATTCTGATATATTAGGCCTAGATGCATGATCATCTTTAAATCTTCTACACTTCATGACTACCAAAATAAGTTATGTTTCTCCAAGAGTATTTTTTTCATCCATCCATCCACTCCTATTTATCAAGGCTGTAAGGTCTGAACACCTTCTTCTCTTCCAGGCCATGTACTGCCTCTTCTTAGCTAAAACTTACACAGCTGGTCTTTGACTGGGTCTCCTCACATTCGATAAGATACACAGGTACGTCTACTAGCCCAATGTTATCTCCTTCCCATGCTGCTCCCACACCTGGAGAAAACTCAGAACTCTACTATCTCCAGTCCTCTCTGTCTCCTCCCAAAACATTTCATCCCTTATTCAAATCACTCAAACTGAGATGATCTCTGATGCTCCAAAATAGCATGGAAGAACTCCATCTAAAAATGTTATGTATTTTATAAATTGTCTGATCTGCTGCATGAGGAATCACTCCCTTACCTGAGAGCACTTGAGAGAGGTTATGTTCTAGCTGTACGAATTACAAATTTTTCACAAATATATACATAACACACATGTATGCACACAGGTATAAAGAGACATTCCAAGACTAAATATTTATGTATCAGTAAAACAAAAGTTCTTGGAAAGAACATACGAACAAATTAGGTATAAATCAGAGCTTACCAGCTTTAACAATTTCAGTACTGGCCATATATTTGAAATGAACAATTTTAACACCAATCTGATGCCAAAAGCAACTTTTTAAGATGACACACAAACAGTACGTGGTCTCAAAGAGAATGATAAAGACCAGATCAGCACCAGTTAAACCCACCTTATATAGGTAACTATCTTCTGCTAGCTTTGTTGGGTTTAGTTACTTACTACCTAACATATAATTTAAGGACCTGCTAAGCATGAGTTGACTTTGCAGTTCTATTCTGCAGATATAACTTGACAATAAACCAAAGAAAGGAACGCACTTTGGAAGAGTAACTGCTAGAAATTATGAGCAGTTTGCTCCAAAACACTGCTGGATCCAAAATACAATTATTACGCATTTGATTTGTTCACACAACTGACACTTGGCATTACATTTAACGACTCTGCTAGTCTCAAGCTCAGCTGGTATATGAAAGGTGGAACAATGGGTTTCTGCCTCCTTTTTTTATAGGTGTATCTAAAGCACAAATGGCTTACATTATGGGATCTGATGCTGGCAATATAACCCAGCCAAAAAGTTGATTAAATATTCAGGCAACAGCTAAGTTACTTGATTTTAAAGTAACTTTGTAATGTGGTCATGAGCTGTATGTGATTGTAGTTATGAACCCGTCTTGTGACAGCTAGAGAGGGCTGAAGGTTGCAATGGGGAGCTTTTCATTTTAAGCCTTCAAAAAAAAAATCTTAGTAAATACACAGTCATCATGCTTAGTTTTAGTCTCACTAGAGGAGCTCCTGAATGTTAAAAAAAAAGCCATATGCCACTTGCTTTCACACCACCACTGAAAGAATATAGTTCTGAAACTTCACCAAACCTGTAAAATGATCTGTTAGAGTTAACTGACCTTGACAACAACCAAGGCTTCCTGAGTTGTCTCCTAATCTCAAGTCCTTCAGGATCTTTTGCATTTCGGGGTTTTTTTGGGTGTGTTCCCCCCTTTTTTTTTTAAACTGCTCCATTTGTCATGCCAAACTTGAACAGCTCATTTGAAAGCATTCATCTGACTCACCTATTTATCGCATTCTCGCTTTCACTAAGGTATTACCACTGTCAGAAATATCAGGCCAGCAACTGTGTGCTAGATTGTTTAAGCCATAAATCAGTAATGGGACGACTACAGCGCTCATCCTAGGAGGACAGTTTTCAACCTCGCTGGAGCAGGCCATGACAGTGTTAGGCAGCCTGCAATAGCCAACATTTGAGTTTCTGCCCCAAGGGACTGAAGGCACTGTTCCTGGATGCCAATACCCTTTGCCATCCTTTATATGAGCCTTGCAAGACTCTGATGTTATTGGAGAATAAAGCAGAACACAATAAAAACTAATGTACTACAAACATCCTTGAGATACCGTAGCAAAAACCATAAAAAACAAATAAATGTTCAAGGCAGGGTCAGGACAACGGATTGTATGTCTGCATGCCATGAATTTGGTCACAAGGACAGTCTCCACATGACCCAGGAGTGACAGGCTTTCACTCAGACATACCTGCACTTAGCAAATGAACAGCTATCTGTATCAGTCAGCTTATTTTCCCCAACCTCATCCTTTACTCAAGCTTCTCATGAGCATCTACGTTTCTTTAACTAAGCTACTCATTTTGTGACTTTGATGTCAAGTGCATACATTTTCTTAGGTCACTCATCGCAGTCATTTCAGCTGTATTTGCGATTGTGGAAACCAAAGCCCGACTTGTACCTCTGCATTTTCCCCAAATACAGTACCTTTCCTTATTCATTTAGTACCAAGAACAATTCACACAGACGTGCCTTTATATGCAATGAGCAGTTCCACTTCTGCTGCTACATAAACCTCTCAAAATTTAAGACAAACTCACAAGCTGCACCTAAAACTGTCTGCTCATTTTCATTGACCCAAGGACCCAGATGTTGTCATGCCTCCTAATGAAATTTAAAGACTAACATCTGCAGAAGAGCATTAATTTTGTCTCATGAACAAAGTGAAGCAGCAAGTAAAAAATATGCCTCACATGGATATCTAAGTGATGCTTAGGAATAACGTATGAAAATTGTTTTTCCCTCTACACAAAATTAAGACAATGAAATCCATTTCCTTCATTCTTCTGGAAGAAGTTATTGCTTTAGAATACTCACAGAGAAAAAGTAATGACAAATTCAAATTGCTAATCTCTGTGGAGAAGTAAATTCCATAATGAATGCTGAGAGCAAACACTTTGCAGTAACAACTTCTCTAAAATCATTGTAAAGAAATCACCACTGGTGCAAACGACTTGCAAGCAACAGCTTTGCTATAGAAGCTAAACTGTGCTTAACTGAGCTGTCTCAGAGCAGGCTGCCAGGAACCCTCAGAGCGATGCAGAAGAAATCAAACTCTGTAAAGAACAAGCCTTGCTTCCTCTGACACGTGGCTGTGATCTCCAAAGCCAAACATCCCGCATCCAACACGGCTCGGAAAACTACGTTTTTCTGGAACTCGGGAAACTTTGGGAACTTCAGCTGCAGAAGTCCTAGGTGGACAGCATCTAGGTGGTTTTGGTTACTCAACAGGAGGCCAAAGCTGAGTCCTCCGATATCCACAAATCTAACTTGCACCAAAATCATTAAACGTATTTGTAATTACTTTTTTCTCTTGAGATATTAATCTTTTTCATATTATTTACTAGCACATTGCTAAATTCATTGATGCCTGCAGAGTGTGACAGAAATCAGTATTTAATAATTTGCAGCATAATGCATCCTTTTCACAGTGTCAGTTCCAGAGAGCTCCCTCAACAAGTATTTAATCTCTGATGCCCACAGATCACAATTCAACTACCATATCAGTGGCAAAAGTATTTTTAATCAAAAATTGCTCTGCCTAAATATTCAGAAAATTATCCTATTGTTAGACAGACAAAAAAATGGTCTTTCAGCAATAAATTATGTTTCTTGGCTCAGAGACAAAATACTGCTGATTCATCACCTATTCATGTATGACTGTAGACAGAAAACTTGCACTGGACTCCAGACCACTGCAAAATTCACTCCAAATGCCAAGATCTCAAAAGTATGACTAAAGACTCGAGACAGGGTTGGCTTCGTATGAAAGCCTATATGGGGAAGTATCAAGAGACTATTTCATACTTTTATTTGCTTAATAGGAAATAGCTTTATTCAACTTGTATTTTGGTAATCCGAATACTACTACTGAATATTTAAGAACTGTGGGAGAGGAGAAAAATGGAGAAGTTCCTTCCAAAACACACAAACAAAGGGGTAAACATTCATGAAAATGTTACAAAATTTACATTACCAGAAGTAAACCATAACTGGGATTAAGGCTTTAGAGACCTAACCGAGCACCAGGTGAAAGAAATTACAACACAGCTTCAACCAGTACAAAACTCCCTTACCAAAAAAACAAGCAAATCTTGGCAAACGAGCACCTCTCAGCAGGCAGGCTGTTAGCTGGATGATAGTTGGTTTTAAATGGCACATACTGCCCAAATTGCACTTTAGCAGGGCTAAGTTTTGAGACCTCCCTCACCCAAAAACCAGAGAAAATCTTGATACCATAAACGTCTGAGGCTGGGACAAAAAACAACACTGTAGGTGGACACACTCAGTGCTCCAAGATTCAGTTCCACATTGCAATTTCTCCAGAAGCAGAGCTGATTTAAGACATTCCCCTATATCCCTTGAAGGCTGAAGTGAAAATAAATAGGCCTGAAAAGTAGAAAGTCACACTGGAGTAGTGTGAAGTACAAGCAGCTGAAGAGCTAAAACCAACAGACCGATAAGCAGCCTCTAGCCACAAGGCAAATAAAGATCTACTCAAGTAGTCATTTCTTTGCCTGCGAAATAGCGCTGAGGGGTGAGACAGAGCAGGAGAAAGCTTGCGTGCAGCCCAGCCATGGCAAGGCGGGTAGATCAGAAAGGCTCCTGGATGACAAAAGTAGATCAGAACTTCTCCAACCACCAGCTGTGGACCCCATAAGGACCTTGAACAAAACACTAGCAGGGATGGGGAAGCAAGTATTTCTGCATCTGCTGACCATCACTGC